GAGTTGTCTTTAGCCAACGAAAGCTGAAGTTAAAGCAACTCGTGAACAAATCAACCCRAATCGTTTAATYCTCTTCATTCTTTGTAARCTCAAACGACAGTTTAGGGTGTTAGATTGTTTGTTGAAGTAGTTGATGCCACGACAGTGGGTCCTCTTGAATCTATGGTTGAGTTCTAGATTGGTTCATGACTTGATAACCTGAATAGTTGCTTGATTTTGATGTCCTAATCCCTGAAATACACCTTGACCTAACTCTTTCCTTCTATTGTTTTCAACCGAATTTTACTCTTATTTGCTTTCTAATCGTGACAACTTAAAACCACTTGATCGCTTAGCTGAAATTGTATCTCAAAAGATTAGAGTGTATTGCTGGTCCCTTTGAACGAACCTCACTATTCTACATCGAATTAGTGAACCCTAGATTTAAACTTATAAACCCGAAAGAAAAGAAGGGACTTTCATCACCTTTTGATTAAGGGGCTTGGGTGTAATATAGGAGACGGTAACTCCATCTCTGTTTGGATTGTTGGGTGTCAAACAAAACTCCTCAAGCTGCCATTGGTCCCCCTAATGAATCTAATAGCAATCTCATGGTCAGCGATCTTCTCCATCCAATCTCCAATTAATGGAATCTATCAGCTATTAGGTCCCACTTACCTCAGTATGAGGCGGCCATTCGACAATTAATACCAAGTTCTAACCATACGAAGGACACTTTGGTCTGGTTACCAGAGAAATCATCATGGGAGTATTCTGCAAAAACGGGATATAATCTTCTCCGACAAGTGTCTCCGGTTACTCATGAAGACTTTAATTGGAGAAAATGTATCTGAAATTTAAAGACAGCGCCTAAGATCAAGTATTTCTTGTGGAAGATTGCTAGCCGAGCCCTACCAGTCACTTGTAACTTGGTGCAACGCGGCATAAACGTCCCAGACGGGTTGTGTAAGAGATGTAACCAACCAGAAGATGAGATTCACCTCTTGTTTTCTTGTCCGTTTGCAACAAAAGTCTGGGAATTAGCTCCAACCCTCTTCAAACCACGAACCGCAATTGTGGATTCTCCCAAGACATTATTGCTTGAGCTCTTAAGGTTGA